TTCCGAAGGGGCGGGGGGGCGTCCTGTGGGGGCGGGTTCCGAGGGGGCGTTTGTGGGGCGGGGGCGGTTCCGAGGGGGCGGGGGGCTCTGTGGGCCGGGGGCGGTTCCGAGGGGGCTCTGTGGGCCCGGCCCGGGGACTCACGTGAAGAACGGGGGGAAGCGATACTGCCAGGGCCACTCAAAGCTCATCTCCGCCACCCAGCGAACCCGGAACCGCCGCCTCACCGACTTCCGGTCCTCTGCACTGACTTCCGGTCCGCTTCATCGGTTTCCGTCCCGCCCTCAGCCTGGAAGGAAGGTTCCGGGCAGGATCCGTTCCGCCCCGTCTGCCTGGGGAGGCCGTGGGGAGCGTGAGCTGTGGCTGCAGGAGGTGGGTGGCACGGTCAGTACAAAGCTATATTTAGTTGTGGTGAACGCCCCAGCCTGCTAGCCAGGACGTCAGGGGTCTCTGCCATGCTCTGTGATCTTGGGCACGTCCCATTGCCTCTCTGCCTCAGTTTCCCCGGCTGCATAGCGCGGACAGGACTGACTGCTCGGGGGCAGTGTGAGATACACGAATATTTGTGCAGAACATTAAGATCCGCTCCTAAAGCTGCCCTGGAAAGGCCATAAAGTGGCTCGGCCTTGGGGGGCACTTGGACATGTGCCTCAGGCTTCAGAGCAGCCAGGGTACTCCAGAGCTGCAGGCGAGGAGAGGGGCCCTAGCTGTGTGCATGGGGGGTGACTGTGCCAAGCATCAGTCTCATAACTTGGGAGAGGCAGCTGGATCCCGGCACGTGGGCCTTGGCCTGGCAGATCAATGCACCGACGAGTATCTTGGGGTTAGAAACCAGCTTGTGAATAACCTGGGAAGAGGGTTTCTCATCAGGTTTCATTTTTTTCTCTCGTCCTGGCCAGGTTGGAAATGCAGCTGCAGCAGCTCCCAGCCCCATCCCAGAGGCCTGTCTGCAGGGCAGGGCTGGGGCCTATGTGCCCAGCTGCACAGCAATCCCCTTCCTGGGCCACTGGCAGACCGGTCTCTATTGGGTGTTTACTGTCTCTCTGTCTAACTGCCCTATCCCATGTGACGGGACAGCTGCCATCCTGGGGAGGAGGAATGGCAGGGTCACGGGTGGGCACCTTTCAAACCGATCCCGCCAGTTCTGCCCACACCCATCCAGGTGCCCTTGAGCCCCTTGCCTGTTCGCTGTTCCTTCCTTCCTTCCTTCTTCTCGTGAAGCCACGGCTGCTTCATTCCCTCTCAAAGAGTCCCCTGGTGCTCTGCGGGAGGGGCACCCGCTGCTCTCAGCGACTGGCATTGGGAGGCCAGTCCAGGTGCTTGGAATGGGGCAAGTCCCCACACTCCCTGCGCCATCCCAGCGTGGCCTCATCCCTGACCGGGTGCCCCAAAGGCTGCTGCGCAGACCTAGGATTCCCCTGGGTGGTTGCAGAGTCACCCTGCTTCTTCCCCACAGCCTCCGGCGCCTCGCTGCCCCTGGCTCCCTTCCTGCCCCCATCAGGCCTCCAGATCACCCCTGGGGCGGGGAGTACAGCAGGGGCAGGAATCCAGGGAGCTGCTCTCTCCCATCAGGGACAGCTGGTAGCACTGGGGTGTACTGGTCACTAGGGGCAGCCTTGCCCTCCCAGCCGGAGCATGGCGCATTGGCAGACGGGGTGGGGGATGAGGTGACTGACCCTGCATGGCGCTGTCTGAGGGCCGCGGCTGGGCTGGGGCACTGCAGCGAGGCAAACGGTGACTCTCCAAATGTTCCATCCAGGCTGCAGCTGCCTGGGAGCTGGAGCCTGTCCCCGTGGCCATGCGGGCAGTGCTCGGAGCCCGGGCTCCTTCTGGGTGGGGTAGTCCATGTGCCCGATGAGGAGGGCCAAGCAGCCAGTACCTGGCCCGTTCTGCCCTGTCTGGGCCCCTGCACGCTGCCGTCACTGCAGGCCTGCACATCCCAGAGCGAGCTTCATGCACAAGGGTTGATAGCAGCAGCATTTACTCCCCTCATCACCTTGGCCCGGGGCTCTGGGAGGAGCCAGGTGCCAGCAGGGAGCCCTGCTCTCAGATCAGAACAGAGTGGGACATGGGGTGACACAGGCTGGGCCCAGCCTGGAGAGCCTCCATCCCCTGTGGCAGACTGGGCTCTGACTGCTGGGCGGCAGAGCTGTTGAGGGCCCTCTGGAAATGCTCACTGGGTCCTTCCCCCCTCACCTGCCCGAGGCTCATTCTGAGGCCATGTTGGGCCCCTGCTGTCAGCTAAGCAGAGGCTCCCCCAGAGGGACACAGCACAGGGCGTTCCTGGGAGCTGCAGAGACCTGGCCAGACCCCAGTGTCGCATCCCAGAGCACTTCTGTTCACTGCGCGGAGCGGACAGTGGGCGAGAGGAGGAAGGAAGGAGCCAGCAGAGAGGGCCTGGGGGCTTTGTTCCCCGACTGTCTGGGCAGGAAAGGGAACTGCAGAGGCAGGCTCATCTCCCTCCTGCACACGTGCTGCTGCCTTGCTGGGCAGGAGGGAGGCCTGGTGCCCACCCAGAGCCCTGGGAGCGACTCCTGGTCAAGGGTTGCCCGAGCCCAGACACTAGGGGAGAGTAGTGAGAGCCTGGTGAGGCTGGGAGCATTAGGGAACAAAGTCAGGGAGTCACGGCCCACCCTACACACCAACCCCAGCAAGAACAAGCTACTGCCTGGCCCCACAAAGGGAGCGACGTGGGGTCCAACCCGGGGGGAGCTGACTGTGGGTGCACCCACCTCACCGGGTGGATGCAGGCAGATAAGCGGCCCAGCTGGGGTAGGACCCCTGTGGGAGCTTCCCAGGCTCTGTGACGCTCCTGCCTGGAGCCACCACCCACACGTTCGTGGGCCTGTGGCAAACTGGGGCCAGGCTGCGCGCCGGAATGGGACTGACTCTCGGTCTGGATCTGAGAGCGAACGCTGCTGCGGAGGGGCTCCCCTCCCCCTTGGCTCCGGGTGCCACCCAGACTGGCAACAGCCCAGGCGGACAGGAGGGGCCCACTAAGCCACACGTCCCATGCTCAGCGTGGAGGAGGCATTGACATTTAAACCAGCAGCATTTTCAGGGCATAGGCCACCCAGCAACTAGGCCAGGGAGAGCAGCAGGGCTGGCAAGAGAGAAGAGGCCCGGTGTGGGCTACCGGCCACGGCTCCCCAGACTGCAGAGCCAGGTACAGTGGAGCTACCCGACAGGCTGGGTGCGCGCACACACACATACACACACACACACTACACACACTTGCCTGTCTTAGCAAACGAGATGTGCCCAGACGCAGGCGTGGCCGGGTCCTGCACAAACACAGACCTGCCCACAAGTGATCTGCGCAGGCCTCTGCCGGCACCGATTCTCTCCCAGCCCCGCTCTCTGCACTGCTCCAAGGGAACCTGGCCCCACCCCGACCCCGGAGTCTGCCTGGCTCCAGCCCTGATGGGAGGGGAGCCAGCTCCCCTAGCACTTCCCCAGCGCTGCTTTGGTTGAGGTACCCAGGCCGAGGCAATCAGGGAGCCCCTGCACGACGAGGTCCTTGGCAGCTCGCGGGGCAGGTCGCTGGACTCAGTGTCATTATCCAAGAGAGGGAATCGCGGGGCCCACATGTCACCCAGCAACGTGCCATGGGCCAAGAGGTCTAGTAAGCCACCAGCTGGCCCCGGAGGAGCCTATGACCGGCCCCGAGTCCCTGCTCAGTGCCACGAAATTGAAGGGGAGACTGAATCCAGTTCCAGCCAACTCCCGGGGGGACTGTGGCCCCGGGCACCAAGGGGGGCACTGCCCAGCTGGCAGGGGGGGAAGGGCTGGGGGTTGTCTCTAATTCCCATGCGTCTGCAGCAGCCAAGGCAAGAAACCGAACGGCGAAAGGAAGCGCCGGGGCTCGGGAAGGGAAGGTCTTTAATCTCCAGCTGGTTAACCAGGGAGCCTGTTTGCAAAGGGGATCAGAAGAAGACAGTAAAAGAGGCACGCAGGCTCTGGTGTCACATGGCGAGGGAGCCTGCCCCTGGCATCAGAGCCCCATAAACAGGGCAGGGGAAACCCGCTGCCCTGGCATGACGTCCTGTCCCGAAACACAAGGCTTTCTCAGCAATGCAAGGCGAGGGGCCCCCTTCATGCACCCATGACGCCAGCCCTGGCATAGCCACCTCTGCTTGCTGGTGGGGCCTAGAAGGCAAAGCAACCGTGTGAGGGGAGGGGGTTTCTCTGGAGGATGTGACCCTTCTCCGCATGGAACTGGAGCCACTTTGTAAGTCAGTCCCCTCGGGCTTCCCCCGCCCGCTGCTCAGTGCAGATCAGGACCGACACAGGAGGGCGAACTCTCCATGGCGCTGGGGCTGCTGGAGGGGGTTTGCACTGGTTAAGCTGCGGTGAGCTGCGAGTGGGACCCCGGTAGGGGGTTACGTAGGGGTGAGATCCAGAGCAGAATCGCCCACGGGGCTCTCTCCTCCTGCTGGCGTCGGTGAGGTCTAGAGGCCTGGGATTGGAAGCCCAGCGCTGTAACCTCGTTTGAGCGGGTACAGCATGGTACAAACCCTGGGCGTTCAGCCAGAGATGGAGGATGCTCCAGGGACTTGGAGGGGGCCGCTCCGGGCTGGTTCTCCAAGCGTCTCCGAACTGTGGGGCCTGGCAGTAGGGCCTGCGCGATGGGGCCTCTGCCGGCTCCTGCTTGTGGCCAGGTTGGAAACGGCGGGAGCGGAGCGGTGGTTCCAGTCCCAGCCGGAAGCGAGTGCTGCAGAGGTGGGGTGGAGCACTCGGGCCTCCCAGCCTCTCCAGCGCTGGAGCTCAGCCAGCAGGCGAAGGCCCGGGGCTGGCTCCCGTGGGGCAATGTTCAGGTCGGGTCAGAGGTTCGAGCCAGGTCTGGTTCTCTAACACATTGGCGATGCCTCTGGCACCCCCGGAGCCCTTTGGCGCTCAGGACTGCATCTTGCCGTCCTTGCTCCTCCACACCACCAGGGTGACCAGGAAAGGGATGAGGCAGATGGGGGTGACGATGAGGGCCAGCAGCACGTCCTCTGGTGGGTCGAGGAAGACGGGGTACTCCTGGGTGCAGTTCAGGAAGAAAATGCGGTGGCTCTGGACGATGCACTCCTCGGCGATGCTGTTGGGGTAGCCGTAATTCTGTTTTTCGGCGAAGGTCTCCAGGCAGTGGCGGAGGTCGCTGTATGGCCTGGGGGGGAGAGGGGACAAGCTGGGGAGTTTCCTACGGGACTGATGCATTATCCGGTGCTGTAAACTGGCTGTGGACCAGCAAGAACCGCAGCTGAGGAGCTGGGTTGGCTCACTGTGCCAGGACGGTCCCTTGCCGCAGGGCTGGCTGCTTTGCCCTGCCCCCAGCATACAACCGCCTCGTTCCCAACTCCCCGCTACCCTGCACCTCACACAGCCACGGGCCCCAGGCAACGTGGGGAGGACGCTGCTGCGTGCTCCAGCAGCTCTTTGCAGCTGCTTTGCACGGGTGGAAATGGGGAACGCAGGGAACTGAGCCCATCAGTTGTCATGTGTGAGACTCCCTGACTGGCCTGTTGGGTCGCACTGCCAGGGGCTGGCTGGGCAGGGTGGGTGGAGCCTGGCTCCTCTCACCCACTGAGCTGCATAAAGGAGGCAGCCTCATTAGCCCCCTTGTACAGATGGGGAAACCGAGGCACGGGAAGGGCCATGGCTTGCCCAAGATCATGCAGCAGAGCTGGGAATTAACCCAGGACCCGAGTCCCGGTGTGGTTCCTTGCCCACTAGAACCACACCCCACCCCAGCCCTGCCCACAGGGCACGCACAAAGCCAGGCACACGCCTTCAAGCTGTGCCGTGGGAGCGCACGGGGGGCTGGAGAGGAGCTGGGGGGCAGCAGGGGGCAGGGAACACGAAAGCCCTGCATGTTTCAGCCACGCCCGGCTCTCCACAGGCCATGCTGACGCCAGACCTGCGCCGAGCAAAGCAGCAGGTGGGTTGGGTTCCTCAGCGGGCCGGGCGAGGGCCAGCAGGCCCCTGGGGAGCAGGTTAGAGTTGACAGCTCTGGGCTTGTTGGGAGGCAGACACAGCCGAAGTGCTGCCCACCTTGGGAACCAGCTACAAGGACACCCACCTTGTGTTTCAGCTTTGCCTGCCAGGTGGAGTCCCCCTCCCTCTCCTCTTCCTCGTCCCCATCCCAACGTCCCCTACCCGTCTCCCTCCCATCCTGACCCTCTCCATCCCCATCCCGACCCCCTTTCCTCGCCCCTCCTCTCCTCTTCCTCACTCCCCATCCCAACGTTCCCTCCCCATCCCCCTCCCATCCCCACCCCCCCCCCCCCTCCCCCCCCCCCCCCCCC